ATTCTTGAAAAATCTCTGAACTTTCTTTAGTAATGACTCGACTTGCTGATGTAACTATAATATTTTTAAAGTCACTGATTATGCTTCCATTCCCATCTCCTCCATTACCATCATCATTACTATTATTATCATTAATTTCTTTACCATTATCCTTGTTATCATTCTTATTATTTTCTCCACCACTATCTCCACTACCATCTTCGTCATCCTCACTACCATTTTCTTTCTCACTGGTCCCATCACCATTTTTTTCATCATTTCCACTACAATTATCATCATTTTCCTTTTCTTTAGATTCCTTTTCATCACCGGAAGGAGGTGTACTATTGCTATTATTGACGTCTGTATCTGTAGGTGTCAATATTTTTTCTATAATTTCAAACTCATTCTCAAATAAGTCTGATAGCTGTTTTTTAATAGCAATATCGAGATACTTAGTGACCCAGCAAGTGATACACGGCATAGAATAACCTTTTTGAAAATCAATACCCACTGCATATACATGCTGTGACTCTAATATGTGATCGATTTTAGCCTTCTTCCCTTCAAGTAATGAAAGCAATCGATCAACTTCAACATGCGCAGCAGCTGACATTCCAGGAGAAAAAGTTGAATCTATTGAAACAAATTTTGAAATAGCTGTGAAGTCATTGTTACTTCTAATAATAGGTTTAGAAAATTGAACACCACTAAATACATCCGCATCTATATTCATATCTTCATAAGATTCCTTTTTATCTAAAATTGCCCTATTCGAAATTAAATATTCATTGTTTGGTTGCTCATAATTTGAATTGATTTCTAATGATACGTCTAATTTATTTAAATTTGCAGAACTATCTAGTTTATAATATAAAATATCATTATTAATGCTTGAATCCAAAGTTTTACTCTTATTCCAGGATGAACAAGAATGATCCTGATAATTATCTTGATAATTTCTGTTCATACTTTTTGAAAAGTTTTGCACCTGTCTTTGATCAAATGGTGGTTGTTGGGATTGATGTTGAAATTGTGGAAATTGACTATTAGGTTGTGATTGATCATTGCGTTGCGGACATTCACTTGTAAAATGTCCAGGCTGACTACATTTACAACAACGAATCTCATTTTTACTACTTGGTTCAGGACTTGTACGTAAATTTTTGGATGAATGTGGTGATGGTTGATCAGGATGTAAATACTTTGAGGAGTATAATTGGTGATTAGATTGTTTACGATCTACTTGTCTTTCATTATCAAAAATTGGTTCAGAAGCTGTGCGCCGACTCCTAGGTGATCGTTGTTTTCCACTTTCGTAGTTATTGTTATCACTTTTGGCATATGAACTATATTTTTGAATAT